TACACTGTAAATGATATTCTACCTTAACCAAAATCAAAGTAGACTATCACTCACCCACACCAGATGGAAAACTCTACAGACTGTCGGTATATATATATTTAAAGGGTATTTCTTTTAAGCCCAACCAATTCAATTACCTGTCAAATCTGGACAGGACAGCCTTTCAGGCCTTTTTTGTTGTCATTATAGTATTACGGGGAACCCCGTAGCAGCCACATCCGTGCTCAAGCCTCCAACAAGGGAACATGCGGGAGCTGCACCCACCAGCAGGTGTGATGCCTGCTACAGCAGGTGGGCGATACCAGCCACGGGTCAGCTGGTAGCATCAAGACCGAGAGCTTCTTCGGTGCGCCAACCGCTGTGCCTCCCCTCCGGTTCCCTCCCCCTATGAACCTCAGCAGTCTGTGCTAAATGCCACTCGGGGGGACGAACGGCCTATCCCTAGGTGGCGGGCGCCAAGCTTGCCCTAATCAATCCCTCCCTCTCTCCAATCGCCAATCTTCATGCATCCTCACACTATTTCTGCTTAAGAAATGTTGCATACCGTATAGGTGCAGACCAGAACAAGAACCGGCCCTTCAATACAAAGTATAAGATAGCACAGCGGAAGACTTAAATACCAATGATCCGAACAATCTATATTGCAATGCAGCCCTGAACATACATCATCATCATCATGGTGTGAAGGGGTCTGGCGCTTCACACAAGAAGAAACCATACACAGACGAAGGAGGTGGGGTTAGACGAAGAAGAAGGGAAGATGGGAATGTTGTCAACACCAAGTGTTCAGCACAAAATGTCTGAATCCCAATGTCGAGTCTGGATCCAATGTCGTCAAGTCTCAAGTCACAACTCTTTCTCTCTGTCGTAGTCTGAGAAGTCAGGTGGCGAGAGGGTGAGAAGAGATGGTGGACTTAGAAGAGGAAGAAGAAGAACTCTCTCTCTCTGTGTGTCCCAGTACTAACCTGTGAAGTTGGCGCCTTGATGCAGGTACCTCGAAGATGGAGCTGGAGCGATGGCGCCACAGGTAAGTATCACTGGCCTCCGCCAGTGTCTCTCCCAGCTCTACTGCCTACCACCTACAGCGCCCAGCGCTGAAGACTACTGCTATGGCTATGGCGTCCAGCGCCGAAGACTACAGCTAGCGCTGAAGACTACTGCAGCGCTCCTCCTGAGTGTTGCGGCCGAAATCTGAAGACTACCGTCCTACTCTCCGACTGCCTAGCCGTTCAGTGCCTGAAGCTCCTATGTACTATCACGGGTGCCTGCTGACTCGGGCGAGCAGTCCAGGAGGCTGCTCTTGCCAATAATGTCGAAGGGAGGCAGGGGCTGCAGCTCCTGCTCGTGCTCTTGCCAATAATGCCGAAGGGAGGCAGGGGCTGCAGCTGCAGCTCCTGCTCGTGCTCTTGCCAATAATGCCGAAGGGAGGGAGGGGCTGCAGCTGCAGCTCCTGCTCGTGCTCTTGCCAATAATGCCGAAGGGAGGCAGGGGCTGCAGCTGCAGCTCCTGCTCGTGCTCTTGCCAATAATGCCGCAGGGAGGCAGGGGCTGCAGCTGCAGCTCCTGCTCGAGCTGGCGTGGGAACAGGCCAGAAATAGCCTGTTCCGAAACCCAGTTTTCGTGCCTGAATCTTAGGGCAGGTCGAAACAAATAAGGGCCTAAAAATAGCCCAGGGCCTAAGAATAGTCCTCCGTTTCAGGCTGGAAAAACTCTGGGTCTGAAAGACCCAGAAATAGGCTGAAACGGCGTAGGGCCTGCAGGCCCTCGTTTTCCAGTTTTCAGGCTGAAACGACCGGGGCTTGTAGATCCTAAGTTTTAGGCTTTTAGGCTGAATGTCCGGGACGGGTCCTACAGGGCCCGTGTGGCTACGCAGTATGCCACACCCCCCCCTCCTTGAAAGACCAAGCTTACCTGCGAGGGCGAAGCTGTCTTTCCGAGGGAGGGACCACAGTCCGGGTGGGAGGGGCAGGTCGTGGAGGTCCCTTGGCTAACCTTTGACGTTCAAAGTGAGCGTAGATCAGCGGTGCAGATGCTTTCAAATCTGCTCCTGAAATCCACCGAGTGTCGTCGCGATCGCATGCTTTGAATGTGACTTTGTACTGCCGCGGCTTGCTGCCGTACTTGCGATCGGAGATGACGCGGTCAACTTCCTGATGGCCATCCATAGAAGGAGGGTCCTGCGATCGTCGGCCCGGAAAGTCCTCGCTCTTGGCTGGCGTGTATGTTGCCAGCATCGAGGCGTGGAAGACCGGATGGACCGTCAGATGCTCTGGAATGTCGATCACAAATGAAGGGCCATCGGGCTCATCGCCCGCGGCTGCTGTCACAGACCAAGGTCCAAACCACTTGGGAAGCAGTTTGCGTGAAACGTCCTGTTCCAGTGCAAACTCTTCTGCGGAGACCCAAACCAGATCACCGGCGCGGATGGGACATGGTACGC